ATGATAATTTTTTTTCTTGATGATTGCGTGATAGACTTCTAAGCGCAATGTTGTTTTGATACCAACTATCATTATTTGACGTTTCCAACGCCATGCCCACTTATTATACTGTATAATTGCTTATTTAGATAATTGTCAACATTGCCATTAAAGCATTTTTGTATCAATTGATAATTTTCTATTTTGTTATCTCGTCAATATTGCAACTCTATTACTATGTGATGGATCATATATCTAAGATTTTCTTGACAATTTCAAAACATAGGTTCAAAGCATCTTTGCTAATTGGGTTCTTGTTTAAGATTTTGTAAATAGATAATTGGATGGATGTGTATAGTTGTTGTTGGACATTGAAGAATTGGGGATTTGTATTTTAGAAAAATATACAGATTGGGTAAACGTTTTGTTTTATTCTTTAGATGATAAATGGCAGTGTGCACACAACATTATAAACAATCAATAGCATTTCAACAATTTATCAACGCATTGAAATAGCACCCACATTGTAGATAAGCATCTAATTGTGACTAGCGCCCATTTAATATTATAAATAAAAATTAGCTCGGAAAAAAAGTTTAAATAAACATTTATCATCAAATGGAAGCGATCATTAATCAAACATTGTAATGATAACAGTAATCAGCCATCAACATTGTCAACAAATAATGCAAATAATTATCCAGGAATGTCACTGCCTTGTTTTATAGATGCTTCTACAATTGATCGTGTTTTTAATGACGATGTAAATGTTGATACTTTTTTTAACTGCTTATGCGAGTAGTTTCTTTCATAATTACTCATGTGTTCGATGACAATAGCAGATACGTAATTGTAGGTTACTATGTTGTTGATGGTGCTTTACTCTTTCCCCTTGTACAAATATATGAGTTTGAGTAGTAGTGGTTATTTTTTCATTTACTTTTATTTTATGAGAGGAGTGAGTGTCGTATAATATTTCTTGTCGATATATAAAGAAAACCTAGAACCCCGGGTTTAAGATCTTGGACGATTGGTAAAAGAGGAATATAAATAAAACGATATTATTCTATTGTTACAATTCTATATATGAAGACATAAAATCAATTCAAAGAATATCAATCAAAAAACACCGACCATCCTGATCCAAGTAACCAAGTTGTAATTGTGAATATGTGCGTTTAACTACTTAACTTTCATTATGTCACCTGATTTTCGATTAAACTATTTGAATTTTAATAGGTTCTAAACATTATATGCATAGATACCTACTAGATCCTTGATATATTATGAATTTTGTAAATTAAGATGATGTTTTGATCAAAAGTAACTTATTAAAATTATATTAATGAGCGGTGCACACGTAAAGAATTTTCACATAGTAAAAATATTGCATGTCCCATGCTTAATAAAAGACATAGAAGATGCAGAGCTTAAAATAAAAGATTAGTCAATGTCATGAAGCTATATTCAACTCCACGTAAAAGCAACCCTCCGAGACGAGCTCTGATTAGGACTGCTACCACGACTACCTTTTATTCATCAACTCGAGAATTAATTAATAGTTGTAACTCCACATAGTATTTTTGTGAGTGGAATTTAATTGAAATGTCCTTAACACTTGAATGCGTCCAAGGGATTGCTACGAAACTCATTATTTGATTTTTAAAAGAAGAAGAAACAAAAAACAAATAAAAAAATAAAATAAAAACTGACACAATCAAAATAAAACAAAGATAAAAATAAAAAACAAAATAAAAAAAAAAAACAAAATAAAATCACAATGAGTCCCGGGATAATTATAAAATGGAGCCCCGTCTGAAGCCACTCCACCTTATGTGATACCTTGCATCGAAGGAACGGAAGCTCAACTTCTTTTAGGCTACGGGTCGGTATAAATAACCCTATGCTATTAAGGACACATGAATAAAGAATAGTTGCAAGGTTGCTGGTTGTTCGTTGTTGCAAGGTTGCTGATCGTTCGTTGTTACAAGTTTAATGATAAGTATCAAAAAAAAAACTAGATAATTATTGCAATTATAGTAATATAGTAATAAAGGTAATGAAGATGGTTGCTGGTCCTTTGTTGTTGCAAGGTTGCTGGTCGTTCGTTGTTGCCAATTATTGTTGCCATTTTTAATTTTTTGAAATACTAAAATTTTAAAATTATTACTAGATCAAACATACAGGAACAACATATCATTGAAATATACTTTTTTTTTACTTTTTTTTCACATTGCAATTGAGATGATGTGTTGTTACATTATTTTATAAAATTAATTAATATAAATTATTTTATTTAATTACCAATCATATATATCTTCTATTTATATATTATATAATATCATATATTTTTGAAAGCGTCATCATGATACATTTATTTAAATTTGAATAATTAGTAATTATGATTAATTATTAAAACAAAACAATATTCCGAATAATATTTTCTGTAAAAAGTAATTACTGAGTTTGATGTTAAAAAGAATTGCAAATTTCAATCTAAATGTATTCAAATTAGTAATAGTAAGGAGATTCTTGATGAGGATCCAATAGTTGATTATTGTCCTTCTTTTCTGAATGGATTGTAGTTAGATGCCTCCGGCAGGAGGAGATATATTATATTCAACTAACCATTCATCTTAGGTAAGAAGTAATTTTTTTGTTGTCTCTTACAATAAATGTAGAAAAATTCAAATTATTACATAAAAGTATGATCCAAAGTAATACATAAAAGTGATACGCAAAGTGCAAACAAATTTTTTGAATCAGTAGTACGTCAAAGTATTTTTTTTTCGAATCCTAGTATTGAAGTCAACAGCGTCACCAAAAGTCCATCGTTATGGATGTCAATAATGATCACTAAAAGTGTACTTTTTTTCATCAACATTTTCGTGTCATCACTAATGCTCCACTATAATGGTCTGAAAAATGGCGACGAATTCATAAACCAATTGTAATCCAAATCGGGACCCAAAGTGGGAATCGAAGTCAAACTCAAATCAGCATAACCTACATGATTAAAAGTATGACGCAAATGCAAACTAATCATACATCGAATGTGGATTCTTCCATGAACCCAGAATGGGTCCTCAAATGAAAAAAACAATCACGAATTCTTCAAGCCTAAAAGTACGACGCAAATGCAAACTCGTCATACCTCAAAGTATGATGAAAATGCAAACCAATCGTACCATAAGTAGGTAACAGTCTAGGAAAAAAGCAACTTATTTGCTCTGCAGCCATAGGTAATATAGTCACTTCAAAATCATTATGTCAATTTAGGTAGAATGTTTTAATGTAAAAAAAAAATCAATAATAAGAATAATATATTAATAATAATAATTAAAGAATAATTCTGCATGTGACCGTAAACAAATTTATTGTTAATATTAAGTTTGTTTATTCCTAGACATTTTTTTACTACTTCTACTATTATCAATAATAACATCAAATACATTGTATAACCATCATAAATATTTTAATAATAGCAGAGGAAAAGTATCCGTATTCAAAGAAGGGATTAAAAAAGATTAGTAGTATTTTATTTATTTTGATGAAATAATAATAATTTATAATTTATATTAAAAAAAAAATTGTAAGATAAATAATCAGTGATTGTATGAGAAGTCATTAAATAAGCACTCTTATTCTTTGGTCATTCTGATCTATTTTATATTTTCACTATTATTAATAATATTATTATTATTGTCAATATTAATATCTTCTTCACTTCCCTCTTCTATTTTTTTTTTCTTGGAAATAATAATGAGGGTAATTAATTTAAAGTAAAATTATTTATAAATGACTAGTTATAAATTAATTTTTACAACACAATCTAATTAAATTGTTTTTTGTTTTTTGTTTTTATAATAAATAATCAGGAAGTAAGTGTATTATACTATAAATCAATTTTACAATGCAAGATAATTATCAAAACATCATCTAATTAAATAATAATATTTTTATTTCTTAATAACCAGATGGTAAGTATTATATAATAAATTAATTTTTACAACACAAAATAATTTTTATTGAGACATCATCTAATTAAATTTATTTTTATTTCTTTATAATAATCAGGGAGTAAGTTATTGTATTATATATAAATCAACAAATAAATTTTATTAAAGTAAATAAATTAAAAATTTTGCTTCTTATACTAAATAGATTGTAAGTATTATATTATAGATTAACCTTTATGATATAAAATAAATTTTATTAAAAATCACTAAATAAATTTATTTTTATAATAATTAGGAAGCAAAGTATTATACTATAATTAATTCTTATACCACAAAATTATAATGACCAGTGGGTAAGTTATATGATAAATTTAATTTTACAACACAATAATTTTTATTAAAACATCATCTAATTAAATCTATTTTTTATTTCTCAAGGCATATTTTATTATAAATTAATTTCCTTTATAGTAACCAGTTTGTAAGTATCATATTATATTATAATTTACTTTTACAATGCAAAATAACTTTATTAGAACATCATCTAATTTTGTTCAGGTTCTTGGCTTCAAATAATGATCTTTGCCAGGCATCATTCTTCATTGTATTGGTTTTGTGTTGATAGGGGGGTTACCTGAGCTACTTGTCACGAGTTTGCTTAGCAAGTTGTGGAATTCAAAAGAGCCATAATCATCATACTCCAGTGGAGGTGATAGCTCAATGCTTGAACTTGGGTAATTCATCCAGTCCGCAAAAACATACAATACTTTGATAAATGTGTTATTGGTGCAACTAAAGAATAGAAAAGGCCTTGGATTCAAGTGATTTTCTTCCATGCAAGAAAGAATATTTTATTAAATCTGACATCTATATTCAATATGTTGGATTTATTTCAAACTCTGCAAAATGTTTTCATCAGGTCATTATATGGCTTTTTTTTTCAAAATTGGTTTTTTTAAAAGTTTGGGTGATACAATTTATTTATTAATTCAATAATAATAACACATTAACTAACATGAATATTTTAATAGATATATATAATACATTATAAGAACAAAGATATTATGAATTAGGTAGCAGATCTTCTGCCTTTAGGCCTTGACAAGCATGTGCCAAATCTATAGAAGACATGATTAGTCAATAATTTTATCAATATTAACAGTCACATAATTTTTTTTGACATATTCTTACCTACACCCCTTTGTCTGTTATCAGATGATGCAGATGAGATACAAGTTTGGAATGCTTTTGGTTTCGTAAGGTTGGTCAAGTTGTTTGATCCATTAGCATCAGAGAGGTTTTGTTGAGGATTGTTAACGTTACCCTTTGCATCTCTATAAAATTCATTCTTGTGTTCATAAACCTTGGTGAAATCCCGTGAATTATGAAAAATCCACAATGAACATAGTAAACAACACTGTGTTGGATTCCCCGGTAATGGGAAAGTTACCATGAAGTAGAAAACGTGAGGAAAATGCAACAACTTGCCCAGGCTGAACCACCACCACAATCTGGAGCTGGGGAAAATATAGTTCACAACCTTCAAAATCTCCTAAAACAACAAGGCAACAGAAACAATTTGCCTCATCTTTTGCATCCCAATGATAATCACTAATAATATTGTAATTAATAGCAATCATTGGAAAACCCCAAAAGGTCTTCTTGGTGCAAATGGCCCCCATATAAACTTTCATAATTATCTTGAATAAATTTGTTGATGCCATCTGACAGTTGAGACCACGGAGGAGATTATTGACACATTCCTGGTGATCAGCATTGTGTGAACTTGCAATATTAGAGCTGGAATAGGGAAGGGTATTATATAGTGTATAAGCCCAAAATGTTCGGTAAAATTGTTCCAGAATCCATCACTTTGATAGGTTGCATTATTCAAAGTGTGGAAATAGTAATTATTAATGGCATCTGTAGCTTTTGTAATGGCAGATAGATTATCAAGTTGTTCAAGACATTGATTTATATTGTAACAATGATGTTGTGATGGTTTTTTGTTCATGGTAGAAAAAAAAGCAATAAATGATGTATGGATTTTATTAGGTTGACTTTGTTGTGATTGAATTATTTTTTTTAAAAAACGATTATATATAAAAAAATTTTTTTTTTTAAATGAATTTATTAAAAAAGAATGATTATGAATTTATTATTTTTTTTTATTCAAATTAGCCAATCAGAATTGTTTTAATAAAAATTATTGTTTGTATAAATGAAAAATAATTTTAGATTGTATGTGATACAAATTAAAATACATACAATCTTATCTGGCCTTGGCTTATACACACGCAACACACACAACTCACTCACACAAAACACACACATGCACAAATACAACAAAAAATAATGGAGGTGATTAAATAATAGCTTAAATCAATTTTTTTAAATTGATTTATTTTTCTAAAGAGAATAACAGGTGATTGCTGTTGTTCTTTTAAATTGATTTTTTTAAATTGAATTGTTTTTCTAAAAGAGGTAACTAAATGCTGCTTGTGAGAAATCCCTTTCATCATAGTATGATTATAGGTAGATTGTAGTAGGTCTCAAATGGTTACTGATTCTCTGTTGGGCAGCAGTAGGCATAAATTCACTACCAGCAGGCTTAATTAAAGAGGGATAAAATTTTATTAGATTCAATACCTGAGCTTAAAAAATTGGATCTACTATATACTATTATTTTTTTATAAAAAGAGAGAATCAATAATATTAAGACAATGATAAAAATATATATACTGTATGCGAGTTAGAAAAAGTTCACCCCGAAGTATTGATATTCTCTTGCAAATACTCATGTCTTCTCTCTTTATTTTTGCATAGTCTGAGTATTATTATTACTTGGGTGATGCTATTTTATGTTATATCAATATTTTTGGCACATAATCTAAAGCAATAGTAATAATAAATCATATAAATAAATTATATATACAAAATGTTTGAACCAAAAACAAATTTCTTAAGGCAACTAACTACCTTTTGAAATCCTTTTAACAATTTGATGTAGTTAATTAATGTACATAAAGTTAAAACCCAAAGTGTATTATTATGTAAAAACAATTACACAGTGAGTCTCGATTTAATGGATATTTTTTTCCAGAAAATTTATCCGTTGATACAAATTAAATGTGTACAAAAAAAAATTTTTTTATTTTTGTATATACATAATAATAATAATATCATTGTCAACTCATAAATTCATCAATGCAACATTTTTTTGCTTCTTGGGTGCTTCTATAAGAAATTTTCTCTTTTTAACTTCAATATATTTATATATTTTTAATTATTTGAG